TCAGCCGAAAACGCCGAACAAAACTAGACTGGTTTTATTTTCTTTAAAACTAAAGATACCAATCGCATAGAGAAAAGGTTTTGGAGGCACAACTATTGTCCTTATGAGCGTTACTACTTCCAGAGTCACAGAAATGTATTATAAGGCTGAATAAATGATGCCGTAATTATATACCGTAATAATATAGCCTAGAGACTAAGGGAAGAGCGGTACTAGCTAACCGAGCGGAAACGGAACGCCTACGCTTGTAAAAGTCTAGATGATAATAATTCTTATTCTCATATAATGAATTTAACACAAGAGATGCCAATTAACAAGCATCTTCAAACCGATAATTCTTGCAAGTTTACTAAATGGTATTCGGCACTGGATAATTCATATACCAAGTCACTAAGGTGCACGATCTTGTCAAAACTTACTACAGTTCACGAGATGGGGATCGGTTTTCATCTCCCATCACACAGATAGGTTTCACAATTAGGAAAAAAGCGCACAATGTTCGAAGTTAGCATCGTAACCAGCCGACGCTGTTGGTCCACTTACACAGTTTGTTATTCAGTAATATAACCGTCTATTCATCAGAAAGTTCTTCAGTTTTTAGCTTTACTAACCACGAAGGACCCATTTACACAATCAAGAGTATCAGCAGGTATCTACAGTTATATAACCAAGGTGAGCGTCTAAAATAATGCGCTTCCAGTTCACCATGTTATGTCTAAGGGTAACACAGACCAATTCCACTGGGAACACTAGTTGTAGTGGGTGGAAATAGACGTTGAAACGGTTAATAGTCCAAATGGCGGTGGCTGCACATAGACTTCAGACATCTTTTGTATTGGCGCAAGCAGCATCATTCCAGTAGCGTACCTGACGCAAGGTAACTTACATCTGAAAGTTCGCTTGTTACGAAGTATTAAAAACATGTAGAGTGGAGCTACTGCAGGTAAGTCACTTTCTGAGTCACGGGGTAAATCGGTTTCTAGTTTAATCATTTGTTCAGAATATTTGTGCTACTATAACTATTGGGAAAGTTTAGACTGTTTGTCACTTGAAGAATCCTGACCAGTAGGCGAATTAATCGCGAAGATGTTCCAGAAACCTCAAAAGATTGTGAGCTGCCCTTTACTTCCTGGCGTCGCAAAGCAGGCGTTATTTTCACTAGGTAGTTCTATTCAGATTGAAATTCAGCATCAAATATCCTCACTGAGCTGTTGTGAGTCACCGAGCGAAATGCAGTGTACTCTTACTGACTAATCTACCCACTACTGCCGGGGTACTTCACATACTGAGTGACTGTACCCGTATTAATTTTCATTGCTGCTATGTAACAAAATGCGTTCCACCCAATATCCAAACAATTGCATAGTCTGTGGGACTGTATGTGGCTCGCCGATTTATTCTTCCTGAACTGCCTCGCTATAACTGAGAAAAATAACATTCGGATAATGTCTGTGTTCGTACAATCCGTCATTCGAAAGATATTATTATTATCATAAGCTTTCTAAACTGCCACTATGCGCTCCACAGCCTCTTTTCCCTCTAGACGACGATAAATATCTCACTTCTCCTTCCACAGCTTCACATGCACAGACCCAAACCCATACAAGTTATCAAATTCCAAACGAAGTGACTGTGTTTAATTATCTCTAAAGCATCTCTGGCTCCAATGTGAGAAAAGTATTGTGCAAAGCACCAAGGGTGTTCCTTGAGTAGAATATTGAACTCGTCAGCCGCTCATTTCCCATGTCTTCTGTACAGACTTTGGCCAGTAACATTGTTTTCCCGAATTTCCTTGTAACTAACGCCAACTCTGGTACCTCTGTGGTTCTATTTCTCACTATATTAGTAGCTTATGACCGAAAACCACATCAACGCACACTCTGCAACGAGATAAAACTCGTGTTTTTATCCAACACCTGCAAATTACCTGGCCTTGACGACAAGAAATGCAAGAATCAGAAGACACTCCCCATCTAGCAACAAGTTCCTCAACTAACAGGGTCAAAAACTGAAGACGCCATCCAACCTTAGAAGAGCACCGTTTGAAATGAGGAGGTCTCATGTCACTGCGCCCAATTTATGAAACTTGCGGATCAATTAAAAGATTACGTGCGTGATATGCAGCAAATGAAGAGATTGTTGCTCTCAAAAGCGCCCCTAGAATACACAACTTGACGTCTCTTTTATACAAATGAAGGAATAAATAAACCTTTTGGTTCCAGATTAGGAATTTAGCCTGGAAGAAGCTAGCTTACGGCCAGAGAAATCTACAAGATCTGAGCTGTCCTGAATGATTCAAAAGGGAGGACATTAAAGTTAATCATAATACCAAAATTGTCCACAAGTCATGAGGAGAATATAGTAAAATATCACTTTATAGTACATACAGACTATTAACAGGTTTCCGTTAAGATAGATGTTTATCTAACGAAACATCGGGTTATACAGACGGGTTAAACACGTCGGCTACTTGCAGCGCAAAACATCAAATATCGTTCGAACTTGGTGGCGCGTATGAGTGAAAAAGATAGCTGAGAATGATCTAAACTTACAGGCACTGTTTATGTACTGATAATGATATTTTGTTTGTTTCATAATTTGCAGTCACCTCACATCATGATTGAGTTTGATGTCCTCGTTTCTGAACCGCTGAGGTCCTCTCAAATTTTGTGAATTTCTCAACCATTATCAGTTTGATGGTAACTGTAGAACGGCTTGTCTCATGTTAAATTCATAATCTGAGGACAAAATATTTATTTGTTTATTTGTTTACAGTATCCAGTCCAGAATGTTTTAAATCCAGCTCCCATGAAAAAGTCCCATTAACTTTTCATCCACCATAGTAGTCTCCGAGTATCCTTATTAAACCATGGGGAGGGTGCGAGGACCCTTGTCGAGTGGACCACGGAAAATGGTGTCTTTACCTCTTCAAACAGAGTTCTAAACCCGGCCCTTGAGTTCTGGATTCATGAGTCTTTGCCAATAGTCCAACTCTTACGGAGTGTGCAATCCTTTGTACTTGAAATGTCTGCACGTCACATATTAGGTACAGAGGAGGCGATGTCGTAAATAAACTCATACTTTCGAAGACCGAAACTGATCACTACATGATCGCCGCTAGCTAACAGAGGGGAGTATCGCAGATCGATAACACCACATTGAAGTGTTAAAACCAATATCCAAATTTGCGTCGTTTTGCACAAGCTACCTTTTGAACCATTGTAATTTTCGGCACCATTAGAACTGAATCATTTTCGAGGGAACTTCCTGAATCTAAGACTGTTGGCCCCATCTAGTTTATGCGTGAAGCGTTGAGATCTCCAACTATCAGGCATCCGATGCTTTTATTCCAGTTACTTACATGGTTTAGCACGAAGTCATTTACAAGACGGAGTGGACCATGGTAAATTATCCCGAAGGCACGGAGACCTTGCTTTGACCCCAGCTCGCAGCTGACTACTTCAAATGTGCCACATTCATGTTCTCCGGAGTAGTATGTCGCCACCATGTGATCAGCAACCCCATCTGTCTTCACACTGTAATACCCCGTCGGAAGTGACGTGAAGCTAAATCCTTTATTAGCCAGGTTTCAATGACAGCCACTACATCAGGACCTAGTTCACGGGCTACAGCCATGGGATCTATCACCTTGCTTCTAATGCCGTGAACACTGGGGTGCATGACGCTCAATGTGTTTGACAAGTCCCATGACTACCCCAACAGGCATTGGAAACGGACGCTTTGCGAGGCCTCATAACCCGAAAACCCACGACTTCAAGACCATTTTCTCCATTAGTTTGTCGAGTCTTAGGCTCAGTGAGGGCTTCTCATCTCCTAACCCAGTCCTCGAAGGGCCAGTCAAGTCGGATGAGGATGTCCAAATTCCGTAGTTTGGTCGGGTTACTTGAGATTGCCTCCACTTCTTCGTTGCAACCTTCCAAATTCTCCTCTCCCTAGGTTTGTCATCCTTTTTCACCCAACCTGACTACTTTAGGGACGTGCACTTCTCTATACGTTTCACGTAGAATACGCCTGGCGTTCATCTCCGCCATGTCCTGACCCCTCAATACTCCAGTAGATCACACTGGACGTTGGTGGAAAATCCTTGTATCACGTACTGGCAGCCTTCTGAACTTCTGCGACAGGTTTCATAGGCCTAACGGCTTCAGTGGATGACCCTTGAAAGTTTCTTTGAAAGTTTTCCTGGAGAAATCCATCCACATTTGTTGATTACCTTCGTGGAGTCAACGTTGCTAGCAGAGGTGTCTTTTGGTTTATTCATGGGCATTTAATTGGTGTACTAGTCGTCAACGCTTTTATCTCACGTCGAGCACGTATCAGAACTGGTGTGATCTCACCGGTTAGATGGCCCTTACGCGATGACCCATCTTTAGGTTTCATGTCAGATGTATTGACAGTAACACTGAGTGTCATCATCTGATGGGATTACAGCTATCATTAACACATGAGTATCTCCTAACCACCAACACCTTGACAACTTCATGAACCAGGGCTGACAAAGGCTTGCAGCGGAAGTCACGTAGTCAGGGAGAAGTAGGTTTGCTGCAACGCCTGAACACGGTTGGCGTCAATCGGATACAAATTTTATGGAACCAATATCCACAGCAATCAATCTGCGTACATTCATCAGCCGATAACTTTCAGCCAGGCCGACCACAAACATGATTATCGATATCTATGTGATCCACTATTCAGTCATAGCTACCACTAGAACCGTGTTCGAGCTGAAGTATTCAGTTAACTTGGACAGAAAGACTTAAGTTGCGACAACGTGACAAAGTGATAACATTTAAACCGACCTCAAGCCTCATAATGGTACAACTTAAACGCTGACGGAATCGCTTCAAGTCAAGGTCTATAAGAAAGCTTTTGATGCAGATTACACAACATAGGATAAAAATGTCAAAAGAGTGTAAAATTCACTTTCTGTCTTCAAAGTGCCACGTGGGTTTTCAGATTTCTGCGAACTGAGAAGGCAAATGACCATTTCAAACGATAAACGTATTCCAGTAAGACGAAAGTAGAATCAAAGACTCACTGTTCGCTATTTTGGCAACACGAAGCTGGAAGGTCACGGAATCCGCGAGATTTGAGTGTGACCTTCACTTGGTTTCACAAGTAAGTGTCTGTATAGGTCTCATTGCGCTCTGTGATTCCGGAAATACTTTACACTTATTTTAAAAGCATAAGTGTTGAATTTAATTTGTATGTTCTTATAAGCACGATGCCTAAGGAGTAGTGTGCACTAAGGTTACATTCCTAGTCTGCTATCGTTTTCCTTTTTTAATTGTGAACCATTACATTATTTTCACTCCTAAACACTCATATACGAACGGTCCTGTGCCGAAAAACTTCTTTGCTCTCCAAGGGGACTTGAGTCTAAAATGATACTACTAAAAGCACACCACTGTGTCCGGCAATAATAGTGAACACGGGTAAATCAGTTGATAACTATCACTGTATGTGTAGAACAGTCATCTCAAACAGAAAAAAATAATGATCTGGGGTTATCCCAAGCTCCAACTTCAAAGCCTACTCCACTTAACCTCGCATAGACAGATACGATTTCCGGGTTTATTTTCCCAAGCCCAGGGGATATGATCCAGGACTTATATACAAGTGTGTTGTCTATTTAAAAACCCTCCTTGGACGGAAGACAGTGGTTCGCTGAAACAAATGCTTATGGAAGCTATTAAAAACGTGCTGAGATTGCAGTACGAACACAAATTCAATCTCTGAGACAATGGCAAATTGCATGAAACATACAGACTAGAGGGTATGACCATAATACATCGTGTTTAGATGAAACTACAGACTTTTATCTTCCTCGAACGTCTTGTTGATTGGTCTTGTCTACCTACCACACTTTTAACGCAATTGGAATTTTAGCTGAACTATTTCAGCGGTACCTTCGATCGAATTGAGGGAATCGATGTTGCATGGGAGCGTACTACGCTATTTGGATGTACTGTGGTCTTGCATATCCCTCTTTCTTCAATTTGATGAAATTAGTGACAAGAAGCTGGTGCTGTGTTATGGTTTAGTAATAAGATTATCTGGCGAAGACCGAAGGAGGATTGCCGCTGATTTTACAGCTTGTCTGTACAATTATCACTCATGGTTTTGGGTACTCGCATCTCTTCACCTAAATGGATGTAGGTAAACTATAGCAAAACACCATTCCGAGCGCAGATTGACGATGGGAGTATTAATGCTGTTTTCATAAGCTAGTTGACTAGATGGTTGTTGGAACAGAGTAACGTCAGTCATCCGGAAAAAGTTCGGTGCCATCTTCAGCTCGTTGTGGAAACAACGTTAAGGAGTGCAACTGACCGTCAAGGATTGACCTACACCCTAGAGGTCATCTGGTTGATTTCGAGTATGCAGACGATATTCCCCTACTGGATGAAGACATTGACAAAATACGGGGACTTCTAGATGCGTTGGGCAGGAAGTTGAATATGTTTGGCATGCTTTCTGCACTTGCCCCATTTAAGATGAGGCTCCAAGACTGGTCTGCTGCAATTACTCCCAGTTTAATGATAGGGAGTGAAGTCGTGGTATGTGTGAACCACTTCAGCCCGAACGAGTTGGTTGTGGACAAAATCTGAACTTGGATACAGCAGGCCCGTTTAGGGTTTGCCGACTTACATCACCTGTTGTGCCAGAGATATATCCGACTTTGTATCACTGGAGGGGTATGCTGCGCCGGAGTTCGTTATATCCTGTTGTACGGGTGTGAGACATGGCCGTTAAAAGTAGGAGACAGTTGTTTGATCATAGGTGTCTTCATAGCATTGCCTGAGTTGGGTGAAATCACCGTGTAAGCAATGTTGAAGACGTTGTGGACGTTAGTCGACTGAGATGGCTTGGACATGTACTGCGCATGCCAAGCCACTGCTTACCTCGAAGTGCCATGTTGATGGAAGTTGGGTTAGGTTTGAAGAGGGTTCCGGGTGGCAAGACCAAGACATGGTACCAATTGATGAAGTCTCTTAGTGCTGGTCTATGTCGTGTAGACTGCCTAGTTGCCGTCCCTGAGACGGAAGGAATCAGTGGCTGAGGACCCTTGTTGACATGGCTGGAAATCAGTCACATTGGAGCAGATGTATTCACTCCTTGAGATCTAAAGCTTGAACATTTGCAATAAGCGTTATCTTAAGATTGTTTATTCTCTTACAGTACTTTATGTACCTTGATATCACTTCTTTTTTATCCACATGTTCATTATATACTACTGTTAAATGTAGAAACTTGAGCCGATACACCTGTGTGCCATTTTCCCTTTTGATTTTGTCAGTCATTCAGCCAGAAAGAGTCAGTGGATCTCAGCAACTTCTGCTGCACTAGTGGGTGTCTTTGAACACATCCCCATATGCTGTGACCTCAATAAGGAGCGGAAGAAAGTCTAATGTAAGTTGACAAAAGGTATTCGCAATAACCTCATAGAGTGATCGGTAGGGAAGGCTCAAGAGCTGCAGCGATAGATAACAATTGGCACTTATTTAGACGGGTAAAGAAAATGGATCTAAACAGTCACTGGGTAATCTAACCATAACGGAGAGGAATGGGTTACGGTTTAACTGCAAGGGAGACATGTAGAACGATTGGTTAAACACTTCGAAGAACAGTTCAACTGTTCCCACATACTATTCTGTTGCCTGCTATCCAGTAGAATGCTAAACAGAAATCTGGAGTAGGTGCTCCAACGCCTGCGGAAGTTGGGGAGACTGTGTGTAACGCGGAAGCAGTAAGGGCAACAGGCCCAGATAAGTCAGTACCAGAAGTATTTAAGGACTGTGGTGTAGGAATATTAGTTAGTTTTCTAGTGTATAGGAATGAGGTATGAACTGCTCTGAGCGATCTGAACCACTGATTATCCCAGTTCTCAAGGAGAGAGAGAAATCCTACTATGACAAGCACATGTAAATCAGTCTAATAGGCATAGTGCCTAAGATCGCAGGTTCATTGGAAGTCAGAGCGGAGCTCAATGACAGCCATCGTGAGGGAAATAGGCGTGTTTGAAACCTGATCCTGAGTATATCGACCTGATATTCACCTTGTACCAGTTTCTAGAACACAGATATACTTACAGGCACCTGATAATAGCTGCATTGGCTTATCTAAATGTGACATTGGAGTCCGTCAATCTAGAGATATTATACCAGTGTCTATCACTGAAATGGGTGCCGAGTAGTTACGTCACCCCATTGACGGTTCTGTTTTCGAACACTCGAATTGTGTAAGTCGAGTGGTGTCATTCAAAGGCGTCCATTCTCTTCATTCTTACTCAGCTTGATCACATACGCACTTATGGAATTTTCCATCTCATCTGACTTCACCGGTATTGACTTTGTGGAAGGAGACCCTTAGTAGGCTTAGTTTATGTATTACCTTAGTTTCCTGTTAAGTGAAGATACTTGAGATGCATGTGTAGCACATTTCCCTGCCGCTGTCCGCCCTGTCACTTACTCCTAAGCCAAATTCGGTTTAGGCCGAAAAAATATTCAATAGAGTGCAACTAAATCATCGCACCATTGCATGAAGTTTGTGGGTGTTGGTCTGAGTCGTGTAGGAAAATATGACCTTCTTGGTTGGGATCCGTGTGATAATGGAGATTGATGGTGATGGATACGGCTAAGAATCGATTTCAAGGAAGCAGATGTATCCGCATACTTTCTTCCTGTTTACCGTCATGCCTAACTTCACCATTGTTTTATTCCTGTTCTCTTTTCATGACTTGGTACCACTTTAATTCCCTTCCTCCTTGTGCCTATTTTTCATCTTTCTACCTTCTACCTTAATGTGATAATTTGAGAAGTGTCCGCGCAGAGCGTTACCTGGTAACACCAAACTCCATGTTAATCGTGACTGACCGTTTACGATGCCCATCCTAACATTAAACCATAACGTTAATTGTGACGAACTAAACTCCATCACTGAATTCCAAAATTGTTGGCAGTCCTCACTCTGCGTGCTATAAAGTAGAAAATGAACAGTGAGTACATCCTACTGTCAGCGGTGACACCAAAAAGAGGACCCACTAACTGTTTGTTTAACATTTTATGACCTGATTTCCAACTATTATATTACAGACAAAGTAAGAACCACGAGATTTTCAGAATAAAATTACATCATTTTATTTCACGAATACTCTTCATCTGACTAGGGTCCAAGACTACATGGTTATTAGGATACATGATGTTTTAAAGTTAGGAAATCAATAATATTGTTGTACAACAAAGTCATTGATAATGCATGTAACATATAAGCGAATTAATTGTACAGAGGCAAGAAATGTCAGAAAAGAAAAGCGATCGTAAATAAACAAAGTAATGTGATTCAAATGAAGCAGTATTAAATTACTGTCATCAAGGCTGTGAGAGACTGATGAAAATTTCCTTCTGTATGCCGAAGTCGGGTTGAAAGTGTTTTGTAGCGATCGTTTCTGCAAAGCGCAGTAATCCAGACATTTTCTGTACGTGATTTTAGAAGCACTTAAGGTTTCAACCTGATGTCCTGTGTCTGCTAGGTGTCTGGCGACTGCACTGGTTAGAGTTTTGCTTCCTTTCAGGCATTGAATCTTATTGATATGATCAGAGAACCGAATGGATGCCGTTCTTTCAATCTTTTCAATGTACTTACTGCCCGCAAATGCAAGTGAATTCATAAATACAGTTGGAGGTAACATGAACATGGGAATTATTCAATTTCTACAGGTTAAACAAGCGATATTGTATACTGATACAAGTTTAGCTGCAGGAAAGCTCCTTCTCAGTGCTCTTTGATTCTTGTGTCTATTCTCTTAAATATTGCATTTTCCGTGAATGTAATGTGTATAAAGTATTTCTTCTTTTCTACAGTTGGGTGTTTACTTCAGTCGATCTGTCCCTTCTCATACTTCATAATAAATCGCATAGGATATCAGTTATCTCGGAGATAGTTATCACTAATGTTTAGTTCTTCTTCTAGCCTGTCCACAGAACATGATTTCCTAGCTCTGTTGTTTTGACTAGCCCAAGCTTATTGCTGACAGGACTGAAACTGTTGTAGTTAATGTTTTATCCAGTCGATATATCTTTTGTATCCATGGTCTTTTCAGTGGTACAGTCAATTCT